CGGAGCTTGCAGTGAGCTGAGATCCGGCCACTGCACTCCAGCCTGGGCGACAGAGGGAGACTCCGCCTCAAAAAAAAAAAACAAAAACAAAACAAACAAACAAAAAAAAAGACAGAGTTTTGCTCTTGTTGCCCAGGCCCGATCTCGGCTCACTGCAGCCTCCACCTCCCAGGTTCAAGTGGTTCTCCTGCCTCAGCCTTCCGAGTAGCTGGGATGATAGGCATGCACCACCATGCCTGGCTAATTTGTGTATTTTAGTAGAGACGGGGTTTCTCCACATTGATCAGGCTGGTCTCGAACTCCCAACCTCAGGTGATCCACCCACCTCGGCCTCCTGAAGTGCTGGGATTACAGGCATCATAGATTTGTAGCTCAATTCACCTGTAGGCAACTCTCTACCCCACCCGAGAGGCAGTGGTTGGTGGGGGAGGGAGCAGCTCAGTGATGAAGAACCACACCCTCACACACACAGGTGTTTGACAACGACATCTCCTACATTGAGGGTGGAACAGCCAGTGGCTTCTACACTGTGGAAGACACGCACTACGTCACCAGGTGAGGGCATGGGGGCAGTGGGGGGCGTGGACCTGGAGTCTGCTGGCAAGGGGTGGAGGGGAGGGTGTTGGGCCTAAGTTAGGCCCTTGGTGCCTACACTGAGCCACTCTTGTCCTGCGCCCAGGATGTATCGTGTGTATGGGAAAAAGAACATCAAGTTGGAACCTGTGCCCCTCAAGGGAGCCTCTCTGGACCCAAGGTGAGCCCCAACAATGTGAGGTGGAGGTGCTTCACCCTCAGCCTCTTCCTCACCAGTGGGGGCAGGTGTGGGCCTCTTAGAAGAGGAGGCTCTCTAGCAACCCCTTTAACTCCTGCCCACGAGCTTAGCGGGGGATCCCTGAGGCTTACCTAGAAACCCCATAGTGAGGGATTTTTTTGGTGGGGTCAGGAGTATGGGGTGACCATTGCCCCATGCCCCATCACAGCTCCTTCCTGCCCCTTCCTGTCCAGGTTTGTTTTCCTTCTGGACCGAGGGCTAGACATCTACGTGTGGCGGGGGGCCCAGGCCACACTGAGCAGCACCACCAAGGCCAGGTACGAGGATACCGTGGGGTCTTTTGTGCGAAGGAAAGGGGTGCGAGCCTCGCTGATGACTTTGCATCCTGCTCTCAGGCTCTTTGCAGAGAAAATTAACAAGAATGAGCGGAAAGGGAAGGCCGAGATCACACTGCTGGTGCAGGGCCAGGAGCTCCCAGAGTTCTGGGAGGCACTGGGTGGGGAGCCCTCTGAGATCAAGAAGCACGTGCCTGATGACTTCTGGCCGCCCCAGCCCAAGCTGTACAAGGTGAGCCCTGCTGCTGAGGCCCACCGTGGCCTCCCAAGTTGACCCGCTGACTGGGGGAATAGGCTACACACCAATGTAGTTGGCTGTGGGCTCCATCTCGGCTTTGGTGGGGAGAGGGTGCCACCTTCTGGACAAGGAACAGTATGAGCAAAGGTCCGGAGGCTGCTTTCGAGAAGTAGCCTGACTGAGTCTTTCCAGGATGGTGGGGCGGGAGGGGAGACAGAAGCGCCTAGTGCCAGGGCTGGGAACCTTGGCTCAATTATCCAGATTCTTGTGAACAGGAAAGGGACAAGTTAGAGAATTAGAAATGACATGAAGGGCCTGGAGAGGGCAGGCATTTAAAAGCCCTTCTGAAAGGATATGCCTAAAAAGACCTTGACAGGGAGGGGGAAACGGGAGCAGTCAGTGAGCCACGCTGCAGGGCAGGGCTGGTTCCAGAGCAGAGGGCTGTGTGGGTGAGGTTCCTGTCTCCAGACCCCTTCCCTGCCGTGCTCATCCTTCCTGCCAGGTGGGCCTGGGCTTGGGCTACCTGGAGCTGCCGCAGATCAACTACAAGCTCTCCGTGGAACATAAGCAGCGTCCCAAGGTGGAGCTGATGCCAAGAATGCGGCTGGTAAGAGATGCAGGAGGAGGGCGCGGGGCCGGATCCCTCCCTGTTGGCTGGGCTTTGACCTCCAGGCTCCCGGTCTGCAGCTGCAGAGTCTGCTGGACACACGCTGCGTGTACATTCTGGACTGTTGGTCTGACGTGTTCATCTGGCTCGGCCGCAAGTCCCCGCGCCTGGTGCGCGCTGCTGCCCTCAAGCTGGGTCAGGAGCTGTGCGGGATGCTGCACCGGCCACGCCATGCCACGGTCAGCCGCAGCCTGGAGGGCACCGAGGCGCAGGTGTGCTTGCTGCTTCGGAGGCCCCTCCCCAGCATCCTTTACACCCTTACACCCTGACATGCCCTGACTCCTGTGGTTCCACTGTCTCGCTACAGAGCTGGGCCCAAACCCACCTCCTCTTTGCTGACTCTGCCCAGACCCCGCCCCCTCTGCAAGCTACCACTCGTATTCCTACCTCCGTGTCCGAGGCCCCGCCTCCCAAGCCCCGCCCTAGATCTCCCTTGGGTCCCGCCTCAAGCCTCAGGCTACTTCCTCCAACCCTAACCTTAACCATGCCGCACCCCTCATGGTTAGTTGATGGCCTCCCTGGCAGGTGTTCAAGGCCAAGTTCAAGAATTGGGACGATGTGTTGACGGTGGACTACACGCGCAACGCGGAGGCCGTGCTGCAGAGCCCGGGTCTCTCTGGGAAGGTGAAACGCGACGCCGAGAAGAAAGACCAGATGAAGGCTGACCTCACTGCGCTCTTCCTGCCGCGGCAGCCGCCCATGTCGCTGGCGGAGGTGGGGGCGGGGCCGGGGCCGGGGGGCGGGCCGGGGCCAGGGGGCGGGCCGAGGGCGGGGCCTTTGCGCAAAGCGCACTCAGACCTGCCGCGGGGCGGGTCCCTGCCGCCTGCAGGCGGAGCAGCTGATGGAGGAGTGGAACGAAGACCTAGACGGCATGGAGGGTTTCGTGCTGGAGGGCAAGAAGTTTGCACGGCTGCCGGAAGAGGAGTTTGGCCACTTCTATACGCAGGACTGCTACGTCTTCCTCTGCAGGTGCCACCTCAGCACTCCCTTCCCTAGGTCCCTCCCCTGGTGCTGAGGGCTCGAGCCCCTGCTCACAACCCTCCAACCCGGCAGGTACTGGGTGCCCGTGGAATACGAGGAGGAGGAAAAAAAGGAAGACAAGGAGGAGAAGGCCGAGGGCAAAGAAGGCGAGGAGGCAACAGCTGAGGCAGAGGAGAAGCAGCCAGAGGAGGACTTCCAGTGCATTGTGTACTTCTGGCAGGGCCGCGAAGCCTCCAACATGGGCTGGCTCACCTTCACCTTCAGCCTGCAGAAGAAGTTCGAGAGCCTCTTCCCTGGGAAGCTGGAGGTGTGCCTGGCAGCCCCGCGAGCCCGAGGCCAGGCGGAGGGGTGTGGTGGGGCCCAGACCCAGAGAAGGTTAGGCTCCTGAGGGGAAGGTGGGGGTCCAGGGAGCTGCCCCTAACACTTCCACATCCCCAGGTGGTACGCATGACGCAGCAGCAGGAGAACCCCAAGTTTCTGTCCCATTTCAAGAGGAAGTTCATCATCCACCGGGGCAAGAGGAAGGCGGCCCAGGGCGCCCAGCAGCCCAGCCTCTACCAGATCCGCACCAACGGCAGCGCCCTCTGCACCCGGTGCCTGGCTGGGGGAGGACACAGTGGCGAGCAGGGGTCAGGGAACCAGGCCTGACTCCTTGCTGATGCCCCATCCCTTCCACAGGTGCATCCAGATCAACACTGACTCCAGTCTTCTCAACTCCGAGTTCTGCTTCATCCTCAAGGTGGGGTTGTGGGTGTGAGCCAGGGCTCCGTGGACCAAGGGGTGGGGTGTTTGGGGGCTGAGTCAGCTGCAAACACCCCCACCCCCACCCCTGCACACTCCCCAGGTTCCCTTTGAGAGTGACGACAACCAGGGCATCGTGTATGCCTGGGTGGGCCGGGCATCAGACCCTGACGAAGCCAAGTTGGCAGAAGACATCCTGAACACCATGTTTGACACCTCCTACAGCAAGCAGGTCAGGAGGCAGGCGGGCAGGCGGGCGGGCACACACAGGGGAGCCAGGGCAGGCAGGGGCCCTGGGCTGGACTGGCCTTTCCCGCAGGTTATCAACGAAGGCGAGGAGCCTGAGAACTTCTTCTGGGTGGGCATTGGGGCACAGAAGCCCTATGATGACGACGCCGAGTACATGAAGCACACACGGCTCTTCCGGTGAGGCCAGGGCCCCGACCCTCCCCTCGGTCCTGGCACTGCTGCTTATGACCTCTGGGCTCACCTTGACCCTTGATTCCCAGGTGCTCCAACGAGAAGGGCTACTTCGCAGTGACTGAGAAATGCTCTGATTTTTGTCAAGATGACCTGGCAGATGACGACATCATGTTGCTAGACAACGGCCAAGAGGTGCGATGTTGCCACTGGCCCTGCCCATCTGAGGCGGTGCCCATAGACTTATAAATGGGAAATTTGGGGCCAGGAGCAAGGGGGTGTTCCCAGGCGCCCATGCGACCGTATCTCCTCTGCTGCACCCACAGGTCTACATGTGGGTGGGGACCCAGACTAGCCAGGTGGAGATCAAGCTGAGCCTGAAGGCCTGCCAGGTAAGCTGGGTGGAGGGAGGGCCGAGGTGGGCCTGTGGGCAGGGCAGGGTCATCACCCAAGGCTCGCTGTCCCCTTGCCAGGTGTATATCCAGCACATGCGGTCCAAGGAACATGAGCCGCCACGCCGGCTGCGCCTGGTCCGCAAGGGGAACGAGCAGCACGCCTTTACCCGCTGCTTCCATGCCTGGAGTGCCTTCCGCAAGACCCTGGCCTAAGACAGGCTGGCACAGCCCGCCCCAGGCTTGGTGAGGAAGAGGAAGGGGCCCTCATCCACTGTCTGCTAGCAAAGAATATACTGAGGTGACAACGCCTGCTCCAGCCACGTCCAGTGCCACAGTCCCCAGTAGCCTCAAGCAGCACCAATGGGGATGACCCTGACAGGTGCCCTCAAGGGTCTGGGAAATCCGATTCCCTCCACAGTGTGAGCACGTGTGAAACCCCCTCACTTCTCTGCCAGGGATAAAGCAGATGTGGCTGCCCTTTAAGAGATATTAAATGCTTTTATTTTCAATATTAAAAATCAGTATTTTTAATATTAAAATGGCGCTAATTTTAACAAAATAACAGAAAAAAACCCCAAGGTACAATCTACAGGGAAACTCATCTTGGGCCCCCCCCACCCCCCCCAACACACACACCTGACTAGGCCCCAGCTGTGGATGCCCAGCAGAGCTCCCAGTCACATCCACACTCAGACACACACACTCATGACAGGCTGGGGACTGGCCCAGGAGCAGGTACCAAAATAGTTTTAGAAACAACCGTCCAGCCCAGGCGCTAGAAAAATACTCTTTGCAAAGTGAGGGGGAAGGACGGTGTGTGGAGCGGGAGGTGGCACAAGGTGCTGGGCCCCACCTGTCCTCTTCCCTAGGCAGTGGGCCCCCAGGGCAGCCAGATGCCTGCAGGAGGGCTCAGTTCTGGCCCAAGTCCCAGGCCCACACCCTGGGGCTGGTGCTGCTCCAGGGCCCAGGGTCAGGCAGGACAGGACAGCAGGTCCCAGTGAAGCCTACAGGTTAGCAGGCGTGGGTCTATGTTAAGGGGCCAGGCAGGTGCCAGGGATCCAGCACTCCAGCTCCGAGCAGGGCAGGTGGAGGTCGGGATAGTTCTGGCCTTCCTGGGAGAGGGAGAGAAGAGGTATCAGCAGAAGGTGAGGGAGGGCCAAAGAGGGCAGATGGATTGCCACAGTGGCCGGACCACACAGGTGCTGCCACTGTCTCCTCTGCAGGGCAGGCAGGGCCCTTCAGTAGCCGCCTGAGATGGGGTTGCTGAGTCTCCAGGTGGGTATCCAAGTGCCAGGCCACATATGCCCCACTGAGGCCAGGGAGGGGCACCAGACAAAGAGCTGGGAGGTGTCCATGTCCTGTGCAGGGTGAGGCTATGGCCCACAGTCAGGTGGCTGGGAGCACGAGGCAGCAAATGCACTGGGCAGATCTATGGGCCCCAGATCTAGGTGACGATCCACACAGACTCAGGCAGGGTAAGTCAGCCACTTGCTGGGCCCAACCGATGAGACCTGACCTCATGCACCTCAGTGATCTCATCTATGAAACAGACTGGCCAAACCAGCTCCCAAGCTCCAAACTACTGCCACCTCTAAGTGGTTTAATCTGGTCTTGTCCTAACCACCACCTGCCACATGCAAGGGCTGAGGGGCTGGCCGTGCTTTTCTTTTTTTTTTTTTTTTTTTGGGACAGAGTCTCGCTTAGTCGCCCAGGCTGGAGTGCAGTGGCGCGATCTCGGCTCACTGCAAGCTCCGCCTCCCGGGTTCACGCCATTCTCCTGCCTCAGCCTCCCGAGTAGCTGGGACTACAGGCGCCCGCCGCCTCGCCCGGCTAATTTTTTGCATTTTTAGTAGAGACGGGGTTTCACCGTGGCCCTGCTTTTCTAATACCCAGCCATGACATCGGTGTCTGGGTGAGCCCCAATTGCAGCACTCCATGGAAGGCAGCCAGGTTTCAGAGTGCCACCATCACAGGGGCCTGCCAGGGTCCCAGGTGGAAGAGCAGGGCCAAGTGGTACCCAGGCAGGGGCTGAAGGGGGTGGACGTTGCCAGTGGTGAGGACCAGGGCCCCACCCCTGCAGCACCTCATTTGATCAGGATGGCACAGGCATGGGCCTCATCTTCTGCCAGGTTCCTCAGGTTCCTCTCCGACTCCTCAGAGGAGCTGCAAGATGGGGATGGTGCTCAGGGGTTGGGGCAGGGCAGCCCCTGGCAGCCCTGGGGAGGAGGCCTAGGGGACAGGGCAGCCCCTCTTGTGGGCCTGCCCACCAGCCTCACCCCAGAAAATCCTTCACATCTTCCACTGTGACGTCCCCTGTCGTGTCCAGCGTGGTGTCAGCACTGGTGGCTGAATCGATGGACATGGGTGAGAGTGCAGCCTCGGGTGGCTCTGGGGTGTCTGCAGGGAGCAAGTGATCAGCCCTTACCAGGACCGTTAGCACCCTCTGCACCTGGGGGCCTGGGGACACAGACCCAAAGGCAGCCCATGGTGAGGAGTGGCACCAATGAGCACACAACCACCCATCTCCTACAGAAGCCTGCCCAATCCCTGAGCTATGTGAGTCCTGACTCCCTCCCCCAGGGCACTGTGGGGCCAGGGTCTGGACCCCTTTCATGCCCCCCTCACCAGGTCCCTTGCTGTGGGCTGGATCAGGGCTTCCATCAAGGCTCTGTGGGGCCAGAAGGATGCTTGGGGTCCCGTTAGCCTGGCTCAGCTTGGGTGACTCTCGGAGCCTGTAACTGCAGAGATGGGGCCATGATGGGGACCATAGGTGGATGACTCGAGGCTGGCACCCTAGATCCTTGCCCTCCCACTCCCGCGCCCAGGGAAGGCAATCTCAGGGGTGGGATGAGACCTGGCCCTGGTCACAGGTCCCCCAGGCTAGGGGCTGCCCCTCTACCCACCTGGCCTGGGTGGCATCGCGGGGCCAGTTAATGTCCAGAGAGCAGAGTGGCTCTGTGATGTTCCGGGCACTTAGGGAGAAGCGTTCAAATTCTGATGGGGATATCAGGTAAAAGCCTGGGTGGACAGAAGAATGAGGAGTGCAGTTAGGAGGTGCCACCAACCACAGCTCCTCCGTGGCCTGGGCCAGTGCCCACCTGGAGTGCCCTTCCTGCTCCCAGGCAGTACTGGTCCCGCTCAGCTCGCTCGCCTGAGGAAGGCCTCCTCGGCCTCTGCCCCGTCTCACCCTGGCCATGGCGCGTGAAGACACACGAAGCGATGCCGCTGATGTCCTCCTTCCGGATGCAGGAATAGTGCACCTGGGGCCGCAGGCCAGGCACCGAGAAGACGTGGACGTCACCCAGGTTGGTGAGGCAGGCCAGGCAGGTCTCAGCATAGTCCTCGCAGGCCACACTGGCAAACGTGGCCAGCGCCACCTTGCGCACACGACAGCCCTCATGGGCCGTCAGCTTGAACTTGGTCTTCGCGCTCACCTTGGGCAGTGTGAACACCTGACAGCAGGTGGCCGGTGAGCACATAGCCTGGCCCTGTCCTCATCCCCAGGGCCCCTCACCCTCATAGCTGCTGACCCACCAGCTCCCACCACAAAGCCCAGCTGCACTGCCACGTGGCCTCCCCTGCCTGTACACCTGACTGCCCCACTAAACTCCAGACTTCACACTGTACTCCAGAAACCTCCCAGGCCCTCTCTGGATCTGTGACAAAACCAATCACAGAGCGCCAAGATGATGAGACTGGCATCCCCACCAAACCTAGAGTTCTTTCGAGGCAGAGCCCCTGGGGACTGGAATCAGGGGTCTGGGCAGGGTACAGGAGCCTCGGAGGCCACAGTGAGATAGGACTAGATTCCTGCCCTCCCAGGGGAACTGAGCAGGCTGACGGGGTATCAGGGTTCTTCCGTAGGAGTTCTCTGCTGACTGGGGGTGGTTTCTGGGGTGCAAGGGAATTAGGGTCCCAACGGTGGGGGATACAGGCAGGAAGGGGTTCTAGAGGGTCCAGTGGTGTCCATGAGGTTGGGGCCTGGAGGGGAGTCCCCCCCAGACTATAATGGCTCACCTTGAACTGCTCCTCAGATGCGATGAGCACAGCGTGACCACCCTGCATGTCAGGTGCCTGCGCCAGGTCCCGTGAGGCCTCGTAGGGCTCGGGCAGTGGGCGGCCACGCCCGTCCAACACGGCAATGGCCACCACAGGCGCCCGGTGCATCAGCTGCACCTCCTTGCCTAGCACGGCCTCCACCGCTTGCTCAGGCCGCTTCTCACCACCCACTGCTGCTGCCGGCACCTCCAGCGCATAGGCGAACACGGAGCCTGAGTTGGTGCCAGCCCACATGGTGGGCCCGTGGTGGGCCCCTGCAGAAAACAAATGCAAGAAGAGGGAGCTCCCTGTGGGCCAGGCATCTCCCCTGTGGTCTCCCCACAGACTGCAGGTCCCGCCCTGCCTCTCTTGTACCCCTGCTTCCTAACTATGACACCCTGGGACTCAGGGCTGGTTCCCTCCTGTCCCATGCCTCCCTGGTGACCTCCAGTCTCAAGGCCTGAGACCCCAGCTCTATGCTGCTGACTGCAGTCAGAGCCCAGGATGCAGCCCTCCTGCAGAGGCCCGAACAGTTGTAGCACATCTGCACAGGATGCCGATGGACACCCAAACCAGACCGAGCCCTCCAGACCCATCCCACTGCACCCTCAGCCCCCATCTCAGTAAACGCAGCTCCATCCTAGCATCACTCAGGCCCCAAGCCCCAGAAGACCCCGACTCCTTTCTCCACCCCCGCGTCCCCTTGCTAGTCCTGTCGACAGGTGCGCCTTGTCTCAGCCCTGCTTCACCCCCTTCATCTTCAGTGTGTTCCCTATGTGGCAGCCAGAGGAAGCCGCCAAGCCTGGGGACATCTAGGACGCCCATCCATCGACCCTGCTCTGCCTGTGTGAACTGAACCTCTGGGTGACAAGCTTTAGTGGAGAATTGGAGCTCAGCCCAGCAGAAGCAAGAGCAGACTCACTACCTGCTCTCTGATGACCCGATGGATCCTGAGGCAGTAAGTGTCTGCGCAACTCAAAACATGCCCAACAGGAGCCCCAGCCGGCCATGAACATGAACCTATCGGCTTTCTCAGGCCAGTGGAACAAGTAAAAAACCCCAGGCTGTCCTCCTCTGGGTCTTTGTAGTCAGAAAAAAACAAAAAGTCAAAGAACCCCCCACCTCCAGCTGCACCCGCCACATCCAGACAGTGGGAAAATCCACTGCACAAAGACTCTCGACAAATAAATGGCATCAGAAAGCTGAGCTCATAGACCAAGCAGATGACACTCAGGAATTTACATCGGTTCTACAGGGCATGATGTGAGCAGTGACTGTCAGTGACATCTGTCAGGAACACGCTGAAGCGCTTGTGTCTGGGTTTTCGTTTTAAAATACCCCCACAAAAAACCAGCAAAGAGTGTGGGGGAGGTGGGCAGACTCCGCAAGGGGCACACGGCTGGCAGCAGGCATGTGAGATATGTGGGACAACTTTCCACCTCTCTATTTTTGTGTATGTTTGAAATTCTCCCATTGTACAAGTTCAAAATCAATCAGTGACTCAATCAACAAACCCAGGACCTTCCCAGGGCTCCCAGGCCACCGAGAATCAAAGCCAGGTCCTCAGCCTCTGGCCAGCAGCAGTACCTCCCTGAGCCACACTCCTCGACCCTCACCTGCTCCACTCCAGCCAAGTGGCTGGGCAGCTGCCCACATGCATGCCCACCCCGGGGCCTGGGCACTGGCTGGTGACCCTCACTGTCATCCACCAGGCCTCAACCTCCCTTCTCCTGGCTCAGATCTGAGAGGCCCACCCAGCTCACTCAAAAATCCCTTACCATCCAGCTCCCCAAGGGACACTGGGGGTGACCCAGCAGTCCCCCTGGGGGAGCTGGATGGTAAGGGTTTTTTTCTGAGAGGGTCTCACTCTGTTGCCCAGGCTGGAGTGCAGTGGCACGATCTCGGCTCACTGCAACCTCCGCCTCCCACATTCAAGCAATTCTCCTGCCTCAGCCTCCCAAGTAGCTGGGATTACAGGTGCCCGCCACCACGCCTGGCTAATTTTTGTATTTTTAGTAAAGATGAGGTTTCACCATGTTGGCCAGGCTAGTCTCAAACTCCTGACCTCAGGTGATCCACCCGCCTCGACCTCCCAAAATGCTGGGATTACAGTCGTGAGACACTGTGCCCAGTCACATTCAGTAAAACTTTCAAACCTCCTGGAAGGTGCAGTCCCACCACCCATCTCCCACGTGGCCAACTGAGGCCAGCCTCCCCAACCCTTGCCCCTTCTCTGCCCCTGCCTTACCATCTCGAAGGAATGTGTCGGCAAAGTATAGGCAACGCACGACGCCTGACAGGGAGTCATCGGCAGAGCGGGGCTCAATGCGGCGCTGCACGGGCGTCATCTCCACGTCATGGGGGCAGGCCTGCTCGGCCAGCTGTGCATTGGCTTCCTGCAACTGCCGGGCAGGCGCTCCTGAACACCATCTCCCTAGCACCCCAGCGGCTTGCATCCTGCTTTGCACCCTATGTTCTGTTACCATTCCTCCACCACCCAGCTCAGCTCACTCATCCCTCTGGAGGGCCCAGGGGCTGCCGAGGGAGGAGCACTGAGCTAAGCAGGCCCCAGGGGTCCCAGGCCAGGGCCAGGCCAAGGCACGGGACACAGGCACAGCTCCCGTGCAGCCCACCCCAGCTCACCTTGCTGCTGGCATTAGCAGCCCGCTTCTTGCCCGAGACACGGCTCTTGCGAATGCGCCGGAAAGACTGGCGCAGCGACTTCTTCAGAGACTTCACCCGGGAGAGCGGCCCCTCCATGGCCAGGGAGTCATTGGGGTGAAGAGTGCACCTGGGGGCAGACAGGGTCCAGCTGTGCTACAGAGCAGCCTCCTGGAGCAGCCACCACACTCCTGCTGGCCTGTGGAGGCACCCAGGTCAGGGAGTCACAGCCCCTCTGGCGCAGTCCTGTGGACCCAGCTACTGCTGGTGCTGAGAATGTCCTTCTTGGAGCTGCCAGGTTATTTCTTATGGGACAATGGAGGTTAGTGGGGCCTTTGCCACACCAAACACAAGAGGTGGAAACAGAAGCCCAGACCCCATCTCGCTGGTGGCTCCAGCTGCCCAGTCGCCCCCACCCCACACACCTGGCCAGCACAGGGCTCTTGCGCTGGTAGTCGAAGAGGCCAAAGCCATGACTGGTGCCAAAGGCCACGAGGCTCCACTCGGTGTGGAGTGTGACAGCGGTGACAGCAGCTGGCGGCAGGCACTGCACCAGGACACGGGGCTGGAAGCCAGCAGGCCAGGGCAGCGGCCCCGTGCGTGGGCTCAGCCGCTCGTGGCCCTTCCACGTGAAGCCCTCGCGGTCCTGGAGGAGGTCTATGATGGCCACGCTGACCGCCTGCTCCACCGGCACATCACTGAGCTCCAGTACCAGCACCTGAGCCCACAGCCAGGCAGGGTGAGCATCAGCACAGGGGAGGGGCCGCCCTGGGCCCCACTCAGCCTGTATACAGCCTCCGAAGCAGCCCCAGCCACCACCAAGGTGGTTCTAGGACTGTCTTCAGTTCATCAGCTACATAAGCACTCACTGAATGCCTACTGTATACCAAGGCCCTCGCTGAGCACAAGGAACACAGTGATGACCAAGACACACTAGTCCCTGCCCTCTGAGGGCAAATGTTCACCCTTACCCTGAGTCTTTATCTCCCATTTAGCAATAAGTATGAGCGCCGGAGCACAGCACTGACATGAGTTCCCGCCCCTCCTCAACACTGTGGTTCCCCCAGCAACAGGCGCACTTCCCATCTGTCCTCACCCCAGCCAGCCCCACCCAGAGCCCTATTCCCACCTTGGCTTTTGCCTGTGCCAGTCCATCTCCCTCTCCACCAGACCTTCCAGTTCAGACCCATCTCTTCCAGAAAGCCCTCCCTGACATCTCCAACCCAGGGGACACCCAGCCCTACCTGGCCTGCAGTGCCAGCCACCACCATCTGGGCTGTATACTTGCAGAGAGCAACCTTCTGCACGCCAAGCCGGGGATCGTCACTGTAGGGATCGAAGCAGCCCACCTAGAGGGATGGGAAGGAGTAATGAGTCCAGGCACAGTTGGGACCAGCTCATCAGGGCCAGGGGAGGGGCCCACCTTGCGGAAGGGTGGCCAGTCGTCCTCGGCAGCCTGGGCCAGGCTGTCAGCATGCTCACAGTCCGTCTGGAAGAGGCCAGCTGTGCTCAGCTTATAGAGCGGCCGCAGCGCCACACCCGAGGCATCCCAGAACCTCACAGTGCCATCCTCATGGCTGCAGGGAAGGCAGATGTCAGGGCTACCCCTGGGTTCCTGTGAGGCCTGCACACCCCTCCATTCACTCATCTGATGACCACTCACTAAGCACCTACTGCACGTGCCAAACACTGACCAGAATCTTATTGTTACAAAAAACAACAGGCACCTACTGTATACAGCACAGGCGCACCGTGCACCTGCTATATGCCAGGCCACATGCACCACATGCACCTAGGCCCTTTAAACCACAGGGTGGAAATGACCACCCTGATTAACAGGAGATGGCCAAGGGGGACATGTAGAGAACAGAGGACTACGGGGGTTCTGCCTGCACTGCAGCAGCCATCAAAGGTGATCAAGAGCAAGGCAGTCACAGAACAGAGCGTGGGGCATCCCGGGGGAGGAGCTGCCTGGGGCCCGAGGCAATCACGTAGGTGGAGGAGCAGGAAGACTGCAGATGCCGGGAGGAAGCAGGGAGGGGGCAGGGGAAGTAGACAAATCTATGGCGCAGCCTTGGGACACAGCTGCAGAGCCCAAGCAGGGCCCCGGGCAGTGGTGAAAGCCCAGAGGTAGGGTGTGAGAGGTATGTGACTGTGGGGTGGTTGTGAGAGGTGTGTGATGTGGGACGGGCGTGAGGTGTGTGACTGTGGGGCAGGTGTGAGGTGTGTGATGTGGGGTGGGTGTGAGGTGTGTGACTGTGGGGTGGGTGTGAGAGGTGTGTGACTGTGGGGCAGGTGTGAGGTGTGTGACTGTGGGGTGGGTGTGAGAGGTGTGTGACTGTGAAGTGGGTGAAAGGTGTGTGCGGGGCGGGCGTGAGAGGTGTGTGACTGGGGCGGGTGTGAGAGGTGTGTGACTGTGGGGCGGGTGTGAGAGGTGTGTGACTGTGGGGTGGGTGTGAGGTGTGTGACTGGGGTGGGTGTGAGAGGTGTGTGACTGTGGGATGGGTGAGAGGTGTGTGACTGGGGTGGGTGTGAGAGGTGTGTGACTATGGGGTGGGTGTGAGGTGTGTGACTGGGGTGGGCGTGAGAGGTGTGTGACTGTGGGGTGGGCGTGAGAGGTGTGTGACTGGGGTGGGTGTGAGAGGTGTGTGACTGTGGGATGGGTGAGAGGTGTGTGACTGGGGTAGGTGTGAGAGGTGTGTGACTATGGGGTGGGTGTGAGGTGTGTGACTGGGGTGGGCGTGAGAGGTGTGTGACTGTGGGGTGGGTGTGAGGTGTGTGACTGTGGGGTGGGTGTGAGAGGTGTGTGACTGTGGGGTGGGTGTGAGGTGTGTGACTGGGGTGGGCGTGAGAGGTGTATGTGGGGTGGGCGTGAGGTGTGTGGGGTGGGCGTGAGAGGTGTGTGACTGTGGGGTGGGCGTGAGGTGTGTGACTGGGGGGTAAGGTTGAGAGTTGTACTGTGAGGGCGGAAGTGTGACGGGGGGTACGTGAGCGTGTGTGACCTGTGGGTGTGCGTAAAGGTGGTGTGACTGGGTAGGTGTAGAAGTGTGAACCCTGTAGGTGCGTGAGTGTTGACTGGGGTAGGTGTGAAGGTGTGTACTGGGGGTGGGTGTAGGTGTGTGACTGGGGTATGTGAAGGTGTGTAATGTGGGTAGTGTGAGAGCGTAGGTGACGGGGCCGGTGTAGGTGGATGACCTTGGGGGTTGAAGGTGTGTGGGGGTGTAAGGTGATGTGGTGGTTTGAGAAGGGTGGACTGTGGGTGTTAGTGGACTGGGGGGTTAGGAGTGTTGACGGTGGGGGTGTGAGTTGTGATGGGCGGGCGTGAGTGTGTGAGACCTGTGGGTTGTAGGTTGTACGGGGGTGTGTAGTGTGTGAACTGGTGCAGTGTGAGAAGGCTGTTGATTGGGACGGGCGGAGGTGCTGATGTGGTGGAGGTGTGACTTGGGTTGCGGTGGGAAGGTATGTGACTGTGGTTTTTGAGAGGTGTGACTGGGTGGGGGTGGGGGGTTTGAGATGTGACTGGGGGGTAGAGGTGTGGGACTGTTGGGTGTGAAAAAGGTATGAAACGTGGATGGTTGAGAGGTGTGTGACTGGGTGATGGAGTATTGAACGGGGGGATGTGAAAGGGTTGTGACTGAAAGTGTTAAGAACTCAACTCCGGCACCCCTGAAAGCCCACAGCAAGCTCTTCAGCAGGGAAGGGCACACTGGAGTCAGAGGCCTGAGGGTCCCAGCACAGGCGGGAGTGGGGGCAGGGCAGGAAGTTAAGGCCTGAGTCACCGGGCACGTCAGCGCCCGCCAGGCCCAGGCTGGGCTCTCTGGCACCTTCCCTGGGCAGTTCAGCGTGGGCCAGCCCAGATTTTCCAGTCCCAGGGCAGGCAGGCTGGGCGGGTGGAGCCCTGGGGTTTGGTAGAGCTCAGTTCCAGGCCAAAAGGCGGATCAGGGCAGCACCTTGAACCAAGGTCCAGAGAGGTTTCATTCCAATCCACCTTGGGCGAGGAGGAACTACCTGGTCCCACCAGGGGCCAGGCCTGAGTCTCCTGGCACCTCTGCACCCACCAGGCCCAGGATGGGTTCTCCCCCAACAGCAAGGAGCCCACTCACCCACATAAGCACGCACACCTACCCGGTCAGCAGCAACCCTCGCTGCGATGGCTCCTGGGCCAGGTTTCGGCCCCCAGTGATGGGCCAGCTCTGGGAGGGGGTGGCAGAGACGTGTGCACAAGGTTAGGACAAACATCTTCTCCCTTTCATCCCGAGCATGGCACATTCTGACCTCCAGGCTTAGAAGTGAAACACTCTCCCCCTCCTCAAGACCCCACCCTGTAAGACCCCCCCAATCCCCGCACACACCAAGGCACTGGAGACAGGCTGGGGGCTCTGCTGCTCGCCAGCGCTCACAATGCGGGCCCACAGCTTGGTGGGCACATTGGCCACGTGGGCCGAGCAAGTGATTGCAGATGAGTGCAGCGGGGCCAGGTATGGGGCAGGCACAGCTGGCCAGCCAGGAGTCTGCAGGTCCAGCACCACCAGCTCCTCTTCCAGCAGCACAGCCAGGGCCTGGGGGTCATCAAATTCTGTTGGATGGAGCGGGTATGGGGTGAGCACAGTCATAGGTGGCAGAGGGCGCCAGGTGGGGCTGGGAAAGGGTAGGGTACGGCAGGGCACACACCATCCCCAGGCCGCGTGCTGTGCACTGTGAAGAAGTCGATGATGCGGGAGGTGAAGTCCAGCGTCACCAATGTCTCGGCTCGAAGCACACTTACACAGTGGCGGTCACCATAGCTGGCACGGGGCATGCCACCACTGAAGATGATAAAGTGGCCCCTGTGTGCAGAGAGTTGTGTGAGCCATGAACCACTTGGGTCCCGAGCACATACTGCACAACCCAGGAAGGGCCCACCCTTCCAGCCCCCTAGCCAGACCCGGCTCACATCGGACACCCGCTCCCCTGACCTACCCAGACTCACAGGTCCGCCACAGAATCTTGTTAATGGCCTTGCAGGGAAAGGGGCCTGAGGGGTGGGACAGCGTCAGACCAGACTCGCTGGTGGTTCTTAGCAATTCTGCCATTCCTGCTCTGCCATCCACTGCTCTCTACCTTGCAGCTGCCTCCTGCCTCCCCAGGAAGTCGGCGGGAGGCACACTGCCACCAGACCACCCCCTCGGGGGAGTCACTCCTCAGCCAGTTTGGCTTGGCTCAGTGGTGCCCCCTCCCATCACCACCCTCTGGCTAAGGCCTCCCCAGCACTCACCGTAAGGTGTGGTGGCTACCGTGGGCTGCAGCGTTGGGGAGCTGCCGGCATCCACAGACCAGACAGCGTAGCTGCCATCACTGTGTGAGCTGACCACAGTGCTGCTATCACGCCCCCAGCATAGGCTCTCCAGCTGCTGTGGGCAGGCAGGGGCAGGCAGGCAGGCATGAGCCATGGTGGGCACGCACTAGGGGCCCAGGCTGAGGGGACACAGGCCTCACCCACATACCTGGTTCCCCAGGAAGACGTGGTCCACACACTGTGAGGCCTGGTTCCAGATGACCAGCAGGCCCCGGCTGTAGCCAATGAGAATCTTCGTGGGGTCCTGCAGGTGTCCCTGGAGTGACTCCACGGGGCCCAGCGCCTTCCCACAGCGGTAGTCATCTGGCACGCTGTGGAGGAAGGCAGGTGAGCCAGTAGAACCTCCTGGGCACACAGTGTGTGCTGGGAAGCCCACCGGCCTCTCACCTGCGCAGAACCTCGCCTGGGGCAAGCGTCTGCCCCTCGAGCAGGGTCAGGGTGGTAACATCCAGGAAGAAGACACTGCTGCCCTCAGTGCCCAGGGCTGCTATGTCGCCAGCAGCCACCAGCAGGACCACTGTGACTCGGATAAGGCTGAGCGGAGCGCTGCAGGGAACAAGGGAAAGGGAGTGAGGGTGCAAGCCCATCCACCTGGTGAGGTGGGGTGTGAGGAGCTGGGCCACTGCTGATAACTCACCACTGGCCCCACAGCGCTCACTAGGGCCTACTTACAGAGCCACCCCAGGAAGACATGCGTCATAATCAGCCCGCTCAATTATTCATAAGGATGTCAGCAGGGAGACAGATAAAAATAGGTTCCCCAGGTCTTGCAGACTGGGCTCCCAGCTCCTCCCACCCACCAGGAGAGGACAGCAGGAACCACGGCATTGCCCAAGCCAGGACCAGGGCTCTCCCCGCTGAGCCCCTCCTAGGAATCCCGCTGCCAGCCCTCAGACATCTCCTGACTTCACAGGAGGGCCCCAGATACCCTCATCTGCAGAAGCTGGGAGGCATCAGGAATCCATCCCTGGGTTAGGACTCCCCTTTTCCAGCTATTTCAGGCAGGGCTGGGGGGAGAGACTCCCCATACTCTCACCCAGCTGGCGCATGCTGCCAGCACCTTACCAAGCACAGCCCGTGGGACCCTCCTTGCCCTCAACCCTGCCCTTTCACCTGTGCACAGAAAGGCCTGTCTCCCACCCACAACTGAAGGGGCCAGGGAACCCTCGCTATTACTAACTGGCTTAGGCCCTGCCGCAAACCCCTAGACACTCCCATCATTGCAGTAAGTGTAGTGCCAGGCCTCAGGTCCTAGGAGTTTGGCATATAATGCATGTACCTCCTGCTGCTCACAATGCTAATTACCTGCTCATGTTGGACTCAACCCAAACCTCCCATTTAACCTGAAAAGTTCACAGAGTATACCTCAGTAAAGCAGGGTCCAAGAGTCGCAGCCTGGGACCTAGGCCCAGCTCAAGGCATCCTGCTCTGAACCACAGCCCCCACTGGCAGCTGCCTGTCTCCATGCTGCCTTTGCACAGCAGGTTCCCACAGACTCCCCCAGATCCTCCCTGCCCAGTGGCTGGCCCCAGCCAAGTTCTCTAGTACCTGGCACCATCAAAGCCGGGCCGGCTGGGCAGCTGGAAGCTGAGTGCCTCTTCCAGGTGGGCACAGCCATTATGGTGGACAATCTCCCAGAGATGCAGGCTGCTGTCATCAAGCAGGGTCAGGAGGCGGCCCTGGTGTGTGAGCAGAGATGAAAACTAGGCTGGCCTAGGGGGGTGAGTAGATATGGGGGCCACAGGGAGCTGGCCAGTGGGAAGCAGAGGCTCACCTGGCCAGGCAAGAAGTGCATCTGTGTGACGGTGGCTGCATCCCGGTGCAGGCCTGTGAACTCCACGCCAGGTGCACCATAGCTGAGGGTGGCAGGTCAAGGTGGAAACAGGCATGGACCAGCAAACCACGGCGAGTGAGATACCCAAGGCTCCTCCTTAACCCGGAGTATTCCAGTGGACCCCGGCATGGGCCTGCCCATCCAGGAGGCCTCCCTGAAGAACGGAGGCCCCCTCCCTAAAGCTCCCACCCTGCACCCCTACAGTATCCCCAAGATCAGCGTGCAGGCTCCACTCACTCCTGCAAGTCGGGTGCTGCTATAGGACCTTCAGTTCCTGTAAACTGGGCCAGTGACGCCCACCTTACAGGGCTGTTGCAGATCCAGTGAGAATAAACACACCCAGCAGGCTCGGCCTCAGCCTGGTGAGAGGCTGGGGCTCCGCTCCACTTCAGCCCCACGTTTCTATGGGCTCTGGGAGCTGCGCCTTGCCAGATGGGATCAGGCAGGCCAGAGGTGCAAGGCCCGGACAAGAAAGCCAGGGAGCAAGAGAGTCCAGACTGCCTTTTCCCATAGCTTCAGGCCAAACTTCAGCCATGGGTAAGAAAACCCACCTCCGCCGGGCGCAGTGGCTCACTCCTGTAATCCCAGCACTCTGGGAGGCCGAGGCGGGTGGATCACAAGGTCAGGAGTTGAGGACCAGCCTGGCCAAGATGGTGAAACCTCATCTCTATTAAAAATGCAAAAATTAGCCGGGCATGCTGGCAGGCGCCTGTAATCCCAGCTATTTGGGAGGCTGCGGCAGAGAATTGCTTGACTCCAGGAGACAAAGGCTGCAGTGAGCCGAAATTGTGCCACTGCACTCCAGCCTGGGTGACAAAGAGTGAGACTCTGTCTCAAAAACACAACAACAAAAAAGAAAACCCACCTCCCTCCAAGGCAGGCAGCCAACAACTGCCACCTTGAGGGAGGAGGGACCCCAGCCTGCCCATTTAACAGATGAGCACACAGAGACTCGGAGGGCGTGGGTGACCTGCTTGAAGTGCCCAGTGTCAGTGCCTCAGTCCCGGCAACTCCAGGGCTGATGGTGGACAGCAGGGCCTGAAAGGGCCCCAGGACAGAGGGTGCAGGGAGGAGTCAGCAACGTTGCCCTGGTGACAACACAGGAGCCGTTGCCTGGAGCTTGAGCTGGGATTCCCTACAGGAGCCTGGCGAGAAACTCTGAAGAAGGGACAAAAGAGGGGACAGGAGCAGCTGGGCGGGAACCAGGGTCGTCAAGGAGATGGGGCCGGTCTGGCAGGGGGAGGGGCAGCTTCTAGTGACCAGGGCTGGCCCTCTCCAGCCTCAGTTTCCCAACCCGAGGGGCTCCAGGCAGTGGTGGTCAGGGGAAGAAGGGAAGAGGACCCCGGGCTCCAGCCTCCTTTCTGAGGCTCAGTCTCCTCATCTGCACTTCAGGTTCTTTTTGAGCCTGAGGACAAGAGCACAGGAGACCCCAACACAGGAGGGACACCTGAAGGCTGCAGGGATACATGTGCGGATGGCAGCGCAGCACCCACAGGAGTGGGAGCAGCAGGCCAGGCAGTGGGGCATGTCGGGCCCAGAGTACTGCCCTACTCACCCACAGGTGCTGCTGGGGCCATGGGAGAGAAGGGGGCATCTCAGCCCATCCGCACTCCCCAGAGTAGGCAAAGAGCTCACAAACCACAGGTCAGACTCCCACCCCTGGGGTGAGAAGACCCCCATCCCACACCCTCCCCTTTCCCGGCATTGACACATTTTCTGGGAACTGATGTCCGAAACCAGGATACTGAAACTCAGAGGGCCACACAGGAGGGGTAGGGGTCAGCACCCCTCACCAAGTCGCCATCAGCCAGACCCTGGCACCTCGGCTTCCCCAAGAGCAGTTGGGGTGGGATTCTCCAGGGCCGGCACAGAGACACTGAGCTGCCGGCCTGCCCCCCACCCCCACCCCGGGCCTGCAGGGAAAATGCCCGCTTTGTGTGGCTCACACAGCCCATTGTGCAGCAGCCAGGATCCAGGTGGGGGCCGTGCTGCACTCACCATGCCGAGCCTGGCACTGCCCCCAGCCCCCTTGGCTGAACACATGTGTCTTCACATTCACACGTGTGTGCATTGGCTCACCAGGGCCCCAGCCCACCTGCCATCCTCCACGGGTATCACAGCCCAGCCCCCCTGCTTGGCCTCCCCAGAGTTGCTGGGACGATGGCAGGGTCGCCTAGGTAACTGGCTGGCTGACACATAGCAAGGGACAGCTGTGCTACTGCAAACTGACCACTCGTCTCTCAGCAAAAGGACCCCATCATCTCTGCACAGTCGTCTCAGGTACAGAAGCCACACCAACCTCCACCAAGATCCCAGCACTTACTGTAGCGCCCACAGAAGACCCCACTACTGCCCAGCAGAGCACCTCTGTTCTACTCTCGAGCTGGACGCTGCCAAGACCGGGACCCCAGAACACAGGAACTACAGGCAGGTGGTCCTGAACAGACCTGAACACCTAGCCTGCAAAGGATACATCTTGACAGCCCCAGACCTGGTGCCAATGGCCATGATGCGAAGTTCAGGGTCGAAGGCCAGGGCGCTGGGCTGATTGGGAAAGCCATGCTCCACCGTCTGTGAGGAGGGGAACGCTGCTGGGGGTAAGCACTCCCAGGCACCTCTGCCGTGGCCCACCCTGAGGCCCACCCCAAGGCAGCCTCCAGGGTCTGCAGCTGACACACTGCGGGTAGGAGGCAGGTCTACTTGCTCTGCGCCTCAGCACCCTCAACTGTGAAATGGGTTATCATGCCTCCAGTTGGTGAGGAGGTGGCTAAACCCCTGGGCTCCATCATGACTGTACCGCGCGCATGGCCCACAGAGGCCCACCCCTCGCCACGCCCCCGTGCCCCTCAATGCACACGGGCTCATGTGGACCCCACTGCATGGAGGCTCCAGCAACAAACAGGTGAAGCAAGGCTCACAGAGATGCAGGCACTGACGAGGCCCCACTTGCTCCGTGAAGGGCTCCGCACCCCATTCTTAGAGGCACAGACTAAAGCTTGAGGAGTCCCACATGATGTCCATGACACTCCCCAAACACAGGCCTGAGTGAAGGTCAGAGGTCAAGGGACAACACCCAGGATCAGCTAGGCAGAGGCTTTTGACTCCTCCCAGACAGAGGGAGATGGAGGCCCAGAGAGGGGCAGCTTTCTGCCTGCACCCTGAAGGCATCTTCCCGCCTCCCCACCTGCCAACAGCTAGGCAGCATGACTCCCACGCCCATCAGCGGCAGAGGTGGTGTTAAGAGGGTTTGTGTGCCCAGAGTGTCGATGGAACAGCTTCCCACCTGCTCCCCTGCCCCTTTCACAGTGCAGGCCCTTCTGTACCGGTTTCCTGTCTTTGGCCTCGCTGTGCCCTCCCTGGGAAGCCTGCACAGCTGAGCTCCAGCCCCATCCTGAACACCAGTACAGGACACCCATGTGGGCCAATGGTAACTCCTTTTATTTTGTTGTTGTTATTTATTTTTTACTTTTACCACTGGTAATTCCTGACCCACTGCCTCAGGAAGATGCACATTTGTAAGAAACCCCAGTTCCCAGCCTGTAACCCCAACCTCCCTCCCTGCCTGTCTCCGCCCATCCAGGTGGGGACTGAGCCCCCTGGGCAGCTGGTTCGGTCATGGCCTAGCTGTCTGGCCTTGGGCAAGTCACAGTACTCTCCAAGCCTCAGTCTTTCATAAGGGCCCTGGGGACAGTAAGGCCAACTAAGGACAGAGTTGGCCATTTGGCTGGAGCTTCTCTCTCCCACCAATAATGCCACACCCTTGCTGCACCTGACCTTGTCTAGCCAGTCCCTTGCTACAACCAGGATCCACAGACAGGACATCGCATCGCAAATCCCCGCAGCCTTTCCTCTTTACAGAAGAGGAAAGGAGGTTGCATGCACTGTCCACCATCTGCTTCCCTCATACCCCACGCCCAGCCCATTTCTGAGCCCCATCAACTCAGTTTCAAAACACACAGAAGTCACCCCCCTCCCTGCTCCAGGCCCCACTGTCACTCACCTGGATTGGTGCTCACTACAGTCTGTTCCCACACAGAAGCCAGAGGGATCCTATGAAAGCCACAGCCAGATCCTCGTCCCTCCCCTGCTCAGGATCCTCCTGGGGTTCCCAGCTAAGGGAGGCTTGTGCCTCAGGGCCTTTGTACCTACTGCCCCTCTGCCTGGCATGCACTTCCTCCAGCACTTCCTGTCGCTCAGGAGTCATCTCCTCAGAGAAGCCTCCCTAAGCCACTCTGGCTGCAGCAGCCGCCCTGGCCACACCTCCCTCCCCCTCGCCCTGCTTTATTTGATCCACAGCACTGGTTAACATCCCAACTACCGTCTATTCTGTTTTTTTGTTTTGGCTTTTCACTGTCTCCTGCATTAGCATATCAGCCACCTGAGTTAAGACATATTTGTCCTTTTTGATAATTACTGTTGTCCCCAGAACCTTGGAGACCTCACACACAGTGGGGCTCAGTATTAACAGAGAAGGCACACTCCACAGGCGACATGTGGGCTGGACTGGGATTTGAACCCAAGACTCGGAGTCCAAAGTCCCTGCTCACTCCTGACCTGTCTCCCACCCCCCAAACTCAGGAATCAGGGGCCTATTCCCTAGCAATCCCCTATGACCCACTTAGGTGACTAAGTCCCTTCCCCAAGACCACCCCACTTTCCACCACTGCTGCCCACACTTCATCCTCAGTGGAGGGCCCTTACTTCCCACCACCCCAAGGCTAGACAGAGTGGGCTGAGCTTCATTCCCACCTGTCTCCAGTCCCCACTGCACATCCCAATTTACTGGCTGAAGAAATGACATTTAGGCCAGGCATGGTAGCTCATGCCTGTAATCCTAGCACTTTGGGAAGCCAACATGGATAGATAGATAGCTTGAGCCCAGGAGTTCGAGACCAGCCTCGGCAACATGGTAAAACCGCACCTCTACAAAAAATACAAAAACTAGCCGGGCATGGTGACATGAGCCTGTAGTCCCAGCTACTCAGGAGGCTGAGGTGGGAGGATCACCTGAGCCAGGGAGGTTGAGGCTGCAGTGGGCTGTGACTGTGCCACTGCACTTCAGCCTGGGTGAGAGTGAGACCTCGTTTCAAAAAAAAAGTGACATTTAGCCCTGAGCCTGTTGCTGCCTTTCCCTGAAGGGCCATTCTCCTCTCACCTAACTCTCATAGCCTCCCCAGCACAGAAAACAGGCACCATCTGGGGACCACGGAGCACCAGCATCCCCTCTGGGCCCCCTCTCAGGTTCCTGGCAGGTTCTCAGCCACCCTGTGAAGGTCCTGGCAGCTCTCACCGGCAACCACTGCAGACCTAGGCAGGGAAACCCTGAGACATCCCAGTGCCTCTGCTACTCCAGGTCCAACCGTCCCAGAGCCTCCTCCAAGACAAGGGTCTCCTCAAGGCAGCCCAGGGCACCTGGCACAACACTGGCCCAGGACCACAGCAGCCTCTTGGAAAAATCCCTGCCCCTCAAGGCTAAAATCCAACCCCACTGACACAGGAACTCGAGAAAGATATTGGTGCAGCTCACTCTGACTCTGGGCAAGCCGTCACCTCTCTCAGAACCTCAATTTTCTCACCTGTATTTTGAAGATAACTCTAATTTCGAAGAGCACTGAGAGGCTCTGCCATCCGTGGGCTCTGGGGTAAGAATGAGGACAAAACCAACGCCCCCAGAGGAGTGAGCCAGGAGCAGGCTGAGGCCCTGCTCTAACATCAGTGCATAGGGAGGCGGGGGCTGAGGCGGCCCCTTTCCCTGGCCCCTAGTGTCCCACTTTGGGAAAGGAAGGAAAAGCCTCCACTTCACTCCACCTTGGTGCGGGGCAGCAGGACAGCTGGCCCATGTGGCAGAGGGAGCCAGGGCCCACAGTAAGGAGAAAAGTAGCCTCATTTCACAGCTAGGGAAACTGAGGCCCCACGATGTGAAGGGCAGTGTAGTACACAGCCAGGCATGTCCCCTGGACTCGGGGCCCCGGGCAGGGCAGGGGAGAGCAGGGCAAGGCAGAGCCTGGAGCAGTGGGGGAAGGAAGGAGAGGCTCCTTGAAGGGATTTCCCAGCCGCACCCCCCCCAGCTGCCTCGTCCCCACTAACTCTCTCGCCCTCCTGCGTGCCAAAGCACAAAACAAACCGGGGCCCACGGCTGTCCCAAGGGCCGAGCAGGGACGCAAAGGAGACCCAAAGAAAAAGGATAAAGAGACAGAGAGTGAGCGACAGAGAAGAGGTCGAGAGACTCCACAGAGAGAGAGAGAGACACGCAGGGAGAGACAGGCAAAGACTCAGAAACGCAGAGGCAGAAAGAGAAATGAGAGGCAAAGATAGGAAGGGGCAGAGGCAGAGACACCCCCACCACACACACAGTCACAACTGGGGCGAGGGAGCCGGTCAGCGACGGAGAAAGTGGGGCAGAGACCCAAAGACAGGCAAAGAGTCTCAGAGACAGAGAGACCCAGACACACAGAGACTGGCAGACCAAGGGCCAGAGCGGCCCGCAGAGACTCGGGAGCAGACACGGAAAGTCGGCCGGAGACCCAGACCCACCCAGAGTCCGAGCCAGAGCTGGGCCCGAGGAGGGGGTGCGCGGCCCGGCCCAGCCCCCGCCCCGCGCCGCGCTGCATGCCAGCCCCCGCCCCCCGGGCCCGACGTGGCTCCGACCCCGGGTCCCCAGCCCGGGCCCCCGGCCCGCCCCCTCCCACCCGAGCCCGCGCCCGCGCCCGCGCCGCAGCCGCACCTTGTTGAAGGCGAAAAGCTCCTGCTTGAGCTTCTCGCGCTGCGGGTCGGCGCCCTGCCGCCGGAACCGAAACTTCATCATCTTGCGCCCGCCTGCCGGCGCCGCGCCGCCCGCGCCGCCGCCGCCGCCGCCGCCCGCAGATGCGCCGCGCGGCCGCCGGTCCTGAGGCGCGGCGGCGCCAGGCGGCGCGGCGCGCGGCCGCCTGCACTGGGCGCGACGGACGCACCGTCCGACCAATGAGCATGCCCGCCGTACCGCCCGCCCCGCCCCTGTTGGCCAGACAATGGTGAACTGGGCCCCCGGGCTCGGCCGGGCTCGCGAAGGGACGCCCGCCTAGCCTGCGCCGCGGCGCGGGGCCTGCCGGGACGTGTAGTCCATGAGCCGGGGTTCCAACGCGGGCGGCTGGGGAAGCGCTTTGGAGGGGGACTGGCGCATGTTCCTGGGCTTGGAGAAGATTTTTTCCTCCTCCCAGAGAGCGAGCGACGTGCCCACTCAAGTAATGGGGCAGCCCTATTCCGAAAGCCAAGAGATCTCTGACTGGAACAACTCCCTGGCCCCTCTGCGCCTCAGTTTCCCCATCTACACCATTGGTCAAGTGATTGCCAAGTTTATAGTTTACCATTCTCACAGAACTCCATTTTGTCTGTTCCTCGCTGTGTCAGAGCACCTCCCACCGCCGTGCTTTTGCCTTGGCTTTATAGTCAGGAATTCTTTCCTCACCCCCAGCCCCTGGGGAACTCCTACACATCTTTCAGGACCCAACGCAAAAGGCTCTGTCACAGTACAGGGGATTCTTTCTTAGCCAAAGAAAGAGATGGGATACCCAGGAGGTGGCATTTGGGACTGTTCTGGGGTTGGATTGGGGCTTTACTGAGATGGGGGAAGGGCCTGCCCCCACAGAGAACAGTGTATGAACAAAGCTTAGCCCTGCCCCTACTGTCTGAGGGGCCGTCTGCCTGTCCCCACCCACCTCCCAGGCCTTTTCTCATCTGGACAATGGCCTCGAGGCTGAACCTTTCCTTCCAGGCTGAGGATAGGTCGCCTGGCTCGGCACTGGGGTTGCGGGAGGTCCTAGAAGCTTAGGTGGGGCAGGTAGGACAGGCCCCAACCCCACCAGCTGTGTCAAGGGAGGAGGAGCTGACCTGTGACCCCGAGGCAGCTGCCAAGCCTTGGGGCCTGGCTGTCCCCCTCCACCCACGCCAGGCCGGCCGTGTTCAGCCCTTCCCCGGATTTGGGGCTGGATCCAGAAGAGAGGCCAGGAGTGAGTGGGGAGGTGAGAGGAGGGAGGATGACGACAGTAAAGCCCCTAAGTGCCTACAGCGGGGCAGGCGCTGTTCAAAGCCCTTTCCTGGTTTCAGCTGACTTAGTGCTGTCAGTAGCTCTACAAGGGAGCCAACAATATTACCCATCCCAAATGAGGAAGCTGAGACCATCAGCCAAAGACTGTTAGTTGTTGGCAGAGCTGCTAGACTGAGGAGGATGAGTGGCCACTGGCCACGCCACACCCAGCACAAGCAGCAGGGACAGCTCAGAGGTCTGGGTTCTGGTCCCTGCCCTGCCTGACAAAGGAAGTGTTAAGAAGTTGCTGGCTGGGTGCCGTGGCTCACGTCTGTAGTCCTAGCACTTTGGGAGGCCTTGGAGGGAGGATCACTTGACCCCAGGAGTTTGAGACCTGACTGGGCAGTAGAGTGAGATCTCATCTCTACGAAAAAAATAAATGAATAAATATTTTTTTAATTAGCTGGGCATGGTGGCCCAGCTGTAATTCCAGCTACTCAGGAGGCTGAGGCAGGAGGATGGCTTGAGCCCAGGAGGTTGAGGCTGCTGTGAGCTGTGATCGTGCCACTGCACTCCAGCCTGGGCAATAAAGCAAGACCATCCCAAAAAAAAGAAAAAAAGGCCGGGAGCAGTGGCTCACACCTGTAATCCCAGCGCTTTGGGAGGCTGAGGTGGGCAGATCACTTGAGGTCAGGAGTTCAGGAAAAACCCGGTCTCTACTAAAAATACAAAAAATAGCCGGGCATGGTGGCAGGTGCCTGTAGTCCCAGCTACTTAGGAGGCTGAGGCAGGAGAATGACTTGAACCCGGGATGTGGAGCTTGCAGTGAGCCGAGATCATTTGCACTCCAGCCTGGGCAACAATCGTGAGAAACTCTGTCTGGAAAAAAAGCAAAAACAAACAAACAACAACAACAACAAAAGAGTTGATTCATGTTCCCACTTTACCATTTGGAAGCTATGTGACCTGGAACAAGTTACCTCAAATTCTCTGTGCCTCAGTTTCCTCATCAGTAAAAATAGTGATAATATTAGTATTTACCTCAAAGGGTTGTTGTGGAAATTAAATGTGTCAGGGTCACGTGAACCAGAGCAACTCCATCTTGAATAGGAGGTGGGTAAAATGAGGCTGAGACCTACTGGGCTGCGTTCCCAGATGGTTAAGGCATTCTAAGTCACAGGATGAGCTAGGAGGAGGTCGGCACAAAATACAGTTCACAAAGACATTGCTGATAAAACAGATTGCAGTGTAAAGAAGCCGGCCAAAACCCACCAAAACCAAAATGGCCATGAGAATGACTTCTGGTCATCTTCACTGCTACACTCCCATTGGCACCATGACAGTTTACAAATGCCATGACAACGTCAGGAAGTTACTCTATATGGTCTAAAAAGGGGAGGTATGAATAATCCACGTTTAGCATATCATCAGGAAATGACCATAAAAATAGGCAACTTGGCAGGGCACAGTGGCTCACGCCTGTAATCCCAGTACTTTGGGAAGCCGAGGAAGGTGCATCACCTGAGGTCAGGAGTTTGAGACCAGCCTGACCAACATGGAGGAACCCGTCTCTACTAAAAATACAAAATTAGCTGGGCATGGTGGCACATGCCTGTAATCCCAGCTACTCGGGAGGCTGAGGCAGGAAAATTGCTTGAACCTGGCAGGCAGAGGTTTCAGTGAGCTGAGATTGCACCATTGCACTCCAGCCTAGGTAACAAAAGTGAAACTCCATCTCAAAAGAAAAGAAAAGAAAAGAAAAAAGAAAAGAAAAGAAAAGAAAAAGGACAACTCTGCCTATGGAGTAGCTTTTTTTTTTTTTTTTTTTTTTAAATGGAGTCTTGCCGTGTTACCCAGACTGGAGTACAGTAGCACGATCTTGGCTCACTGCAACCTCTGCCTCCCAGATTCAAGTGATTCTCCTGCCTCAGCCTCCCAAGTAACTGGGACTACAGGTGTGCGCCACCACACTCAGCTAATTTTTGTATTTTTAGTAGAGACCAGGTTTCACTATGTTGACCAGGCTGGTCTTGAACTCCTGACCTCAGATGATCTGCCTGCCTTGGTCTCCCAAAATGCTGGGAATATAGGCATAAGCCATTGCGCCTGATCCCCAGTCTCCATTTTTCTTTTTCTCTTTTTTTTTTTAAATTTTTTTGAGATGGAGAGACGGAGTCTCACTCAGTCGCCCAGGCTGGAGAGCAGTGGCACGATCTTGGCTCACTGCAACCTTCGCCTCCCAGGTTCAAGCGATTCTCCTGCCTCACCCTCCCAAATAGCTGGGACTATAGGTACGTGCCACCATGCCTAGCTAATTTTTTGTATTTTTAGTAGAGAGGGGTTTTCACTGTGTTAACCAGGATGGTCTCGATCTCCTGACCTTGTGATCTGCCTGCCTCGGCCTCCCAAAGTGCTGGGATTTCAGGTGTGAGCCACTGCACCCAGCCAGCAGTCTCCATTTTTCAATGGGACTTGGTTATTAGGCAGTAAGCAGCCATGCCTTTCCCAACCCCTATCTCACAGTTTTTTGGGGAGCAGGGCAACAGAACTGAGTCGAGACCACAGCTACCCATAGCTCACCGTCCTATGATGGGGGATGCACTAGGGCTGTGGGAGCCCAGAAGAGGCATCTGGACCAGGGTCAATGTCCTGCTGGGAGAGGACAGTGCACATGGGCTGTAATGGGTAAGAAGTGTACCTAGTGGAAGGAGCCAGGGGATAGGCAGGGAAAAGTCTCACGGCAAACAGGGATTCGCAAAGTGTCAGTACCCCCACCCCACAACACACACACACTTGTTAATTCAGATTCTAGGTCCTCCAAATGTGAATGACAGGGGAGTGGGGCCCCAGAATCTGGATTTTAAACCAGCCCCTTTCCCAAATGACCCTGAGGCCTAGCTTGGCCCCATCTGATCAGGTTAAGAGGGGTCAAATGGTATACAGCTACAAATGGGTAAACTGAGGCCTGGGCATGTAGGCCCAGCCGACCCACACTGTCAGGCAGGGTTCAGAAATGGCACTGGAGAGGGCACCATCTCCCAGGCGGGGAGGGTCTGGGACACTAATGACTGTTTGTCTGTCCCTTCCCCCGCAAGTCAGGGCAGCCGAGGCCTGTGATTACCACAGCAGCCCCGGGGGCAGAGACTGGCACAGGCGGCCATGCCAAGTCAGCTCATTGCTAGAAGAAGAAACTGAGGGTCAGGGGAGCCCAGACAAACAACTGAACACAGGGTCCTGGTCATCTCAGGTGCCTACCCGTCCTTGGAGCTGGGGGATGCAGGAGGGTTCCTGAGTCAGCAGCACTGGCAGGGGAAGCTGGTCCTTCCTTCAGCCTCCCAGCCTCAATCTCAGGTCAATCTCAGGCCAGGGAGGGGCTGCCGCCTTCTCAGCATTTCCTGGGCGGGGTGTCCCCCTCCTCTAACCTCCTCCTAGGCTCCCATAGGGCTCTCATCCAGCTCTGGAGTCTGCCTTCAAATCCCAAGACATCCCCTGGCTCATTGGGACCTCAGCTAAGCCATGAGTCCACCCTGGGCCTCAGTTTCCTCATCTGTAAAATGTAGTAAGGACTAAATGAGATGACTCAAACAAGAGTTGAGGCCGGGTGTGGTGGCTCAGGCCTGTAATTCCAGCACTTTGGGAGGCGGAGATGGGCAGATCACGAGGTCAGGAGATCAAGACCATCCTGGTTAACATGGTGAAAACACGTCTCTATTAAAAATACAAAAAATTAGCCGGGCGTGATGGCAAACGCCTGTAGTCCCAGCTACTCGGGAGGCTGAGGCAGGAGAATCACTTGAACCCAGGAGGCAGAGGTTGCAGTGAACCGAGATCGGCGCCACTGCACTACAGCCTGGGTGACAGAGTAAGACTCCGTTTCAAAAAAAGAGTTGAGGCCGGGCGC